TTGTTTCATGCACTGCGAAGAGCGTTCTTACTTTAGCTGGTGGTTCAGGTGTCGAACCTTTGGTCATTGTAACTGGTTGTTTCGTGCACCGCGAAGAGCGTTCTTACTTTAGCTGGTGGTTCAGGTGTCGAACCTTTGGTCACCATGAAATGGGGCATCGTCTAAGCACTGACGTTGTCTCCCGCACGCTAACCTAGCACCTGAGGCCGACAGACAGCCCAGCTTCACTCTGATCCAATCCAACAGTTTGCTCAACCTGTTCCACCATTTATCTTGCTTCTTGGATACCATGAGTTCAGAGCCACCATCTTGAAAGATTCTGCGCCATCTTACACATCTTACCTTGAACTAGCGGAGATTTTCATGTGGACATTACTTTCCTGTGCTAATCTGCCCTTCTAAGTCACTTCTCTCGCAAGGGTTAAGGATGGAATCGAAGAAGTGAAGCAACTTGGAGGTCAACGTGACAAGTGCTGTGTCGCATCAAGAAGGTTTATGTATTCATCATCACAAAATAACTAATAAACTTCTTCTGGTAACTAAGATATCCTAGAACGTGTTGGAAATCTAGTTGTTCTCGCTCTATATTCTCTTGGTGAAACTACTAATGAGTAGCTTAACCAGTTGTTATATTTTGTTCTGTGGAAAAAATACAGGGAAAGGGGACAACTAGACTAAGGAAGGGTTATGATTCTGGATTTGGCAGGTTCCCTTACATTTCGCTAAAACTCCTCGGTGAGTTCATTCGTGGTATTAACAAATAGGTGCAAAAGTGATTTGAAGGCCAATCAGGTATCCAAACTGATCAATGGTGCTTCAAGCCCAACATTTGGCGACTAAGCGTCGGTCGAACGGCTTGAATAGATGCTCACAACAAAGCGATCTGGACTGATCAGTTGAAAAGTCTTGCTGCGTCATCCATTTGCTGGTGGTCTAGCTGGGAAATCCAAAAATTTGCTTTCTCACAGATTTATTCGGACAGGGTCTGTCGCAAAGGCGATGACGCCTGGCCCGCTGCTGACCAACTGAATAGTCGGTCGTTTTGAACACACACACACACTGTTCTTGGAAATGTAGTGTATTGAGCAGCACAAGACCTTACAATTTCTCACTGCTCCGTAAACTGAAAACTGTTCGACAGCCCACGAACGGTTTTGCTGTTTTTGGAGCCCATTGGATAGACGAATTTCCCGAGTTTCCAGACCACCATAAGTGAGAGATTCTGCCGGATTCATTTGAGTCACCTGTAAAAATCAAATTCAGGTAAAGATAGGAGTATTTGTGGAGATAAACACGGTTGCTCTGAGTTCTCCACGGGTCCGCAGAGTTTACTTTTGCATCTCTGTTGTCTGAACAGCCCATTCTACAACTCGTCAGAATGCTTCAGCAGTTTTCAGGCGGCGCTAGATGACTGGGAACTCCTGACCGGCGGTTCCGTAACTAGACACAAACAGCAGAATTACTTGGTGGTCCTTGAATCAGATGTGTCCTGCGAGTGTTGGTGGGTTGGAGAGAACATGAAACCCATGTATGTCACGTGTCCGAAAGTCAGCCAATGGCGTGGCCAAGGATACGTACTTCTAATGAGCTCTGATAAGCACAAAACTCCAGTCAGTTGATTCCCTTCTGCGTTGTGATTCACCGGAAGACCAAGAGGCCGACGTGTGGGTGTGGTAGTAGCGATTCGCACGAACGAAAATAGGATAGCAAAAGCAATGGAATTAGAGTTGCACACAACCTTTCGACGTCGGTGTTGATGCTTCATTCCACTGGTGTTTACGGAGCCGCAAAGGACCGGTAATTGCAATGGGCCTTAGTAATCAGTTGGTAGAATACTTCTCTATTTCCAACTCGTTTTTTTGGTTTCATTGTCCTCCATTTTAACAAGGTTGCTTGTTTAGGCTTTTGGTGATACCGAGGGTGTTATCGATCAACTCAAGTTTTCTTGGAAAAAAAATTTTCGCTGGTTTGTTTGATCCCGGGCAATCAGCAGACTGTGAACCAAAGCAGAATCAGTCTGTAGTCGATTGTGTTGCATTAGATGTTGGGAGTTAACGCGGAGGCTTGTTGGTCGAATCGAATCATTCTTCTGTGATGGAGATGAGTTACAGCTGCTTTCCCCTGGTGTATCATCGACTATGTTGACAATCGGAATTCCTCGGGTTCGTTCTGTCTCTATTTTTGACCTCCGCTCCACTTTTTCGTTTAGTGCGCGTGTATGAACTGACGTTTGTTTGCCCGTACCACTTCACTCATTTGACCTTGAGGTCATCCAGACATTTGTGGCCGACTTTGTGCACGTGTGACTGTCTCACGTGGGAGCCTGTTTGTTAATTTGATTCGTACTTTTGTAGTCCAAGTGGACCATTTCTTTAGGAGGAGTGTCTACTGTCGAGGTTTGTATAACTTGTGAACTTGTCTCACATTAATAGTACCGTGTAGAAACCCAGCTCAGACTTTGTTTGGCCTCCCCGCGTCACTCGAAGATACCATTTGCCCGTTTGTTAGGCGGAATTCCACACGTATCCCGCTTTACCGCTCGCACTCAGGTGCTGCTACGGCCGAGAAGCCCATCTCACGCAAGATTGGCCAAGGGCTCGGGAGGCGTGCCGGTCCGGCATCAAGCCGAGATCTGATTGGTC